ACTATCCTTTAACAGGAATTCATCAGTAGATATTCACTCTTTCCAAATTGTAGTAGTTTATCAAAAAAATCATTACGTCAGGTAAGAAACTGAACCTTGTCTTCTCTTATCTGAAACTGCAGTTATTGTGTTCTTGTCCAGCGCTGAAATGGCTGTAACTGCTGCGAATCCATCTCCTTCGGAAAAAGATATATGGTGACCGATATCTTTCAGTGCAACTGGTATGTTAGCATTCTGAAAAAAAATATTTTTTGGAACGTTTATATTGAAATTTTCTCAGGAATTTCCCACAATTACTGCCCCCTGATGGGGGGCAGTATGAATATTGAAAAATAGTTGTTACATGTATAATATTTTAACACAGTCTGCTAAGTGTAAACATTTGTGTTTGACTGAGTTAGTAGAAAAATAAAGATAATGTTAATTGTTAATAGATATTGTTTATGGCTGAATGATCGATTTTCACTTGCTATCGTCCAACCCGTATTAGGAATCATACGTTATATCGTAAGACCTCATTAGTCCTTAGCTCGCACAAGTTTCGACTTCAAAGGGTTGTCGTTCGTAGGGGTGCGACAGCTGGTTAACGAAAAAACAGATTTTTTTTCAACAGATAACGTTGTGGAATACAAGTGAAATAATTGATGATAAATTATTTTTGGTGATTTGATATTGTCAAGTAATTATCTATCGATACGTATCTAATTATTTTGAGACATCATCTGAAATGAACGAAGGGATGGAAATGGAAATATGGTAATTGTTCGCCAACAATCCTCAGTTAGTTACTAATTCAACCTGCAAGTCCAGTTTACAAGTTGAAAATAGTGTTTTCAACAAATTTGTTGAAAACGTCCAATATCGGAGATGATATTTCTCTGACTTGTGTTCCATTTTATTTGATGTTTGTCTTTTTCATTGCATCACTTTCCATATTTTGCTATGATTTCACTTTCAGTTCATTGAAGCGAGTTATATCTGGGAATGCCAGTATCTGAAAATACTTTCAAAACAAGTGATTTTCTTCCAAGTAATTTATGAAATTAGCTGCTTGGAAAGAGCTTTTTCTTCCAGTTTATGTGTGAAAGGGCATGATCCACAAATGTATACAGTTGATTTTTCGGAAATTGATCGCTTTCTTCTTCCTTCCTTTGGTATGAAAATGAAGAAATAGGGAACCAAAACTTTTTTTTTTCAAAAAATAATCCCTCCTAAAATTATAGATTTTTCAATTCAAACAATATTTCTATTACCAGGTTTCAGTTGAAGAAGCGAATGAATGTCATTACATACTGTCATCGATGACATTCGTGACATTAAGTCGTAATTTTATGAATGAAATGAATGCTTCATCATGTATTGTTATCCAGATTTTGTACTGAAGAGGCAAAAAGGCAGGTGTCTCATTCCGAAACATCTGATGTCCACCAGTGAGGATGACAGTGTAACCATGTAAGTGAAATTTTACCCCTTTCATTTACTATGTTGTGTAGCAATCCTGTGAATGATATCTGATTCAGTTCCAAATTGGAATATAAATTCAATAGAAAAAAGTGTTTTCGTACGATTCAGTTTTCATATGAAAGTAGTTGTTTGTAGGATATTTTTCTTTTGTGTAATTCAATGTTTATATGGAAGTAGCTGTTTCAAAAGGGCTTTTCACTCCAGTTTGTGTCTAAAAGTTACTTCTTTGCATGATCTACGCATCAACGAATCCTTTGAATCTGGTATCTTCCCCACTAACTGTAAAATTGCATGTGTTTCTCCTATATTGAAATCCGGTAGTGGAAGTGATATGAATAATTATAGGCCCATTTCGTAATCCAATTTACCAAACGGAGGTATCCTAATTTTTTGACAATAGGAAAAAACAATGACGTACTTAATCACAGAAAAATTTGAGTCGAAGAAATAACTGTGATTACAAAATTCACTTAGCTCTCCAACCATAACTTTCAGGGCTTCAGATCTAGTAAATTTATTCTAGCATTCAATTACTCAGGTACAAACCTGAATAATAATAAGTATTTACAGAAAATTGCAAAAATATATAGTTATTTGGGAAAACTGAATATGTTTTTAATTGAAATGGTATACATATTTATTATAAAAGTTATTAATGAAAGACATACCTCTGTTATATATGATTCTTAATATATTCCATCAATTGCTTCCTTGATTGAATATTTTTTTTACCAATTGAGGGAATCATTTCTTCGATTTCTCCATCAGTGAGCCTTTTAGCTATGTCTAAGGTTACATCATTTTCTGTTTGAAAAGTATGTGTTTTAAGTATATTAGTGGGAGATAAATAATATATGTATTTTTTTTACCTTCAAAAATGCCAATCAGGTCATTTAATCCTAAGTTATTAAGAAATTCCTCCATGTCTAAAATTAAAAGAGATTATATTACATGTTTTGAGTTTGTGCAGTTTTGTTGGATGTCATCATTTCTGTAAATATGTTACAAATAACTTTCCTTTTTCGGTCTCACTGATTGTAATAAAGTAATACAAGAGAAAACTGTGATTATTTCACAATGTTCTTTAAAAGAAAAATCTTAAAAAGAGATTCCTTCAAGGATTCAGTATATACTATCATGATGGAAATGAAATCATTGTTTTCGACGCCATTCAATTATTTCTGATGTAAGGACATTGTATACCTACACCTATTTCTGTGGCAAACACATTAATTGTATTTAATCTGAAAATGTCCAATTCCTCCGTATCCAAAGATCAAAGGTCACCTAGGTACCCAGTGTATGCATACCTACCTACCTCTCAATGATAATCATTTCACCCGACAACTTCTACTTTCTTAAAAACAGAATTGAAATCATCAAAGCTGTCCTTCAGTCATTACATTAAACTATAAGAACTTCAAGCCACTTTTATAGAGGATAGCTGTCGAGAAAAATGTAAGAGTACGTGCTCGAAAAAAACGATGTCCGTTTATCCAATACATGATATTGATAATTATTTCAAAATATGGAATGAAAGAAAGTATATAAATATCAACATACCTGTGAGAACACTGAAAATACTTCAACCCACGTATAATCAAAAAGAAACTGTAAACCTCTTCGTCATCTCCTTGCAAAACACAAAACACATTTTTAATTCTTATTCCTTTCGTGATTAGTTTACGGTTCTTGCACAAATGCAAATGATGCCGACCTGCACTCTATTCCTTAGGAGTATTTTAATTATACCATTTCTTTCAAGGAAATAATTCAATTTTTCAAACCAACAAATAATAAAAATATTGAAATGAAATTATCCAAAGTAGAATAAAGGCAAAACAAAAATAGTATGGAAAACAAATCATGTGAATAGATTGTACTCAGCGAATCCATATATTCGAGCAAAAAAATGCTCTTTCGAAGAAAGAAATGTCAATTACTTCAATGAATATAATATGGTTACTTGTTTGAGGTGATGGAAAGTGCGTACCTATATATAGAAATTGCCCATTTTAAATTTCTCCGGTTAAACATCACCAGCTCTTATAAAAATTAATTCGAAAATATGACAATTTCAGAATAACATTCTCCAATGATTTATTTTGAATATGTAAAGTTTCTTTTCGTTTCATCATGAGAGTTAATTCCTTCCAATGTAAAAATATGAAATTGAATATACCCATGTAATTTACTTTGTATAACACATGCTAATTTATTTCAAGCACTCTTTTTTATGTGTGCCGAGTATCCAATTTGAGTGGCTGCGGGTGATTGAAACTGTTACTTATAGTTTTATGCGCTACTTCTCGCTCGTCTCATTAGTAACTTCTTCGCAACTATTACCTTCGTGCTGGGGGTCAGCATTTTGGAAATGTGATGGATATGCCGGTATTTGGCAACTATCAGCCAAACAGTGGGCGTGAAAGGTCTGCTGGCCGCCCTGTAGTCTATTGCACAATGAATCCTAGACGCTTGTTGTCTCACCAAGTTGATAGTATTCTCCACTTGTGTATCGTCCATCCAATTCGACAACAAATCATAAGGCAATATATGAGGCGGTTTGATTTGTCATAAATCAGCCTTTTCTGTAATAACATTATGAACTTTCCCATCCCAAGTACCCAGTTTAAATGGCTTTAGAAGACGAATTTAGCTGCGCCGGCTTCACTAACCTTTGATCTCTATCCACATCGGGAGGTGAGAGATCATTGGGTTCAAGAATCATGTGCCTCGAGAAGACGCGATGAGTCGAAAATGGCAGCCTTCTTTATTTTTTGGTCAAGAATTTCTCCTTGATGAGGCAAATCGTTATGATCGTGAGAAAAGAGATCAGGAAGGGTATCGTCACACTAAGCTGGTCGTACTTTGTTCCCGAAGCTACGGCACATTCGTACGGGTGCGTGAGCATCATCAATTAATGACAGTTCTCACACCATGGGTTAAGTCCGTTCAAGGTGCGAGAAGTCGGTACGATTTCGAGATTCAAGAGTAGAGGCGGCATTATTTCAACAAAAACTCTAATAATCAGAACAATCATCTTAACAAAAAAGTCCAAACAGATACTACGAAGTAAGAAAAAAATAAAAAAACATTTTATTCGATTTCTCTGCTCTTTTCGAACTATATTCTTCTTACCTGGAGACGATTATTAGCATTTTCATTATTATAATGGAAATCTTGTAATTATCGCTATAATTGAGATCATTTCGCTTTTCTGCGTATTTTCTCTTCTCATTTCCCCTTTTTACGGGGCATGATATCATGGAATCCAATGAGCTAGGTATCAAGAAGCAGAACAATTGATTCATCTGAAACTTCACCTTTTCACACACATAAGGTCAACACAAATCATATCTGAGAAACCAATATTTAACGAAAATCCCAACTTGAGCAGCACCTTACTTTCTACTTCCTTAATTGAACAGTGTCCAATGACTTCAATCTAGGCATTACCGCATTTGTTAGACGAAATATTTGGGATATTTTCACTCTGAGACTTTCAGGTGTATAATAGGATGGAGTTGAATGACTAACTTTTTGAATTTGAACTAGCCATTTCTCACCTGGGCAACACTTGTCGTAATTTTGCTACCACCAGCTGCGCCCACCACCATTTGTACATCGCCATTACCGTCAACAATAATCGTTGGAGACATAGATGATATTGGTGTTTTGCCACCAACTATGTAGTTGGAGGGAGAGGGAGGGACTCCATAAACATTTGTTATATTAGGTGAAGAAAAGTCATCCATTTGGTCATTGAGGATGATCCCTGTACTATTGGATGCAAATTCAGCACCAAACCTGAAAATATATGAACTTGAAATTCTGAAATGCATGGGTTACTCGTGAACGTTAGAGATAGATATTTGATTAAATTGTGCTGTAGTGGATGAGAGAAATGAAATTTTAAAATTCCATTGTTAAATAAATGATTATTTTTTACTTCGATCCTAATATTCATTCCAATGACACTTTTTTAAATATCGCAGCTGTTTCGCAGAAACCACCAAGTACCTGAAATGGTGATGATATGACAAACATCTATTATTTCCAGTAAGTTTTTTTTACATCGTACACTTTCTAAAAGTTTTAACTTCCATGTCTATTTCCCATTTTGGCTCACGAGGTGTTAATCGAAAGTAAAGTAGTAAAAAATACGCGGTACAGTTTGAGAAATATGGTATTGCCCTCAAATCGCGAATGAATTTGTCACTTTCATTTCAAAGCTCATATGAGATTCCTGAGAGACATTCTTTATTCCAGAAACTATTCATTGAAGTTCCGGCTCATTTATTTTCAATATTTCGCGATCTGCTAAAAGCCTTATTATCTAATGGTGCTAAGATAAATCACGATTTTATTGCTGGTCTCATATCACCACTGTGAGTGAGACTATGGTGGGTTAGAATAGAAATATCTGGTTATTTGTGTTTAAGGAAAATAAGGTGATATTTCCGTTTTGTGAATGAAGTATCATTTCCTAATTTGAAGCTTATACGACGTTTCCAGGGAAGTCACTGAAATGAAAGAAGTCAACAAAAAGTGATTTCCATGATTATTGCTCCAGTGTCTTGAAAACTCCATATGGACTTGGAATTATAAGCGATAAATTGATTTACAGTTTGAAATTTACGAAATATTTCAAATGATTGGCCACAAAGTAATCTACAGAAAATTTCACTGAATATTGAATTACAGGTAACCTGCAATTTTGTCGGTTCATTTCTTGGAGTAAATTTTATGATAAATTGTCAAATAAAAGTGGAAAGATGAAATAAAGTTGACAGGTACACGACCGATAATTATAAGAGATTGATTTGCGAAATAGGTTAACATATAGTGTATTCTTCTGGAGCTATATTATTAATACGGTCGAAAACTGGTTCCAACCTCTCTATGTGTAGCCATTTCATAACACACAACACACGAAAATCAAATCGAAAGCACATTATTTCGTTACGAAAAGTAGCAGAATTTGAACCAATATCGCGAATATCCTGAATATTAACAAATCATGAACAGATGACAGAGAAGTTAAGTTTCGGTCTTCATTCTTGGACTTTCGATAGATAAATCGATTTTGGTTTTCGTTTATCTATGAGAAATTATAGGTCAGAAAAGCTTTCGTAGCGATAACATAAAGTTTTTTTGGTCTTTGAGCCAGGTCCCTAAGAATTTTAGGTTTGAAATTTTGGGAATGCCGACTTATTCATCAAATGACGTCATATTTGTATAATAATATTTTTTCACGTAGGAAAGAAGAATACAGAATAATGTAGTACGAAGTTAAAGGTGAATGAATAAGTACTCGATAAGTGTTTTCCACACTTCTTTCGAGAAAATACAATGCAATAAATAATAAACATACAAACTAACAATTGCGGATATATTAAAAAATCCAATTAGTATCAGACTTGTCTGAATCTTGATTCATAAATATGTGTAATTATAAGTTAACACAATGGTTGATGCGTGTGAGTGGTATAAGATTGTTTGTATGACATTTAAATGACACAAAAGTTATAAGCGGTGTGTTAAAAATTATAATAAATAAGTAAGGTAAAATGGACAATCCTGATGTACTAATATATAATCTGAGGTTTTATTGTGAAGTAATAACAATTTTGTTCTTTCTCACGATTTTTACATTGATTAAAACTTTGTTTCAAATATTTTTTTGTCAACAAAATCAGAAATGATTTGTTTTGGCTATCTGCATATAAATTGCCTCAATGACTTTTTGAAGTGGTGAAATATGTTAATGTTTTTTATTGTATTGGGAAGAGTATTGAATAATTTTGGAGCCAGGTAAGTATAAGTATGCTGCAAATGTGGTTTTTGTGTTAATGGAATTACAGGATGATTTTTTGTTCAGGTGTTGTAATTGTGTGACGGTGAGAGATAACTTTTCTTCTTGTGGTACATTGAAATTACATTGAAATAAAACAGTTGACGAAAAACACCGGCTTCACGAAGCAAATTGTCTGTAGGAAAGCGTGAACTTTTCGAATGTATCAGTTTTAGAAATTTGGTTTGTGTATGCTTCAAGAGGACGAAGGTGTGTTCGAAATGCCCCGCCCTAGCATGCTATTCATTAGCGTAAATGACTTTCTACTAGTGCGAGGTAAAGTATTTTCAGGTTGTGGATGGAGAATATTTCTCTTGAGGTTTTGAATACTTCGCAGCTTTTTGCAAATGAAGTTTATGTGCTTATTCCATTCAAGATGTGAATCAATAATTACTCCTAAATACTTCACCTAATTTTCAGGACCAATCAATTGTTGATTGCCTAGGTCTATTCAGGAAAAGGGTGGTTTGTTCATGCTATTGCAGCTGAATAGCATATATTGGGTTTTCTCCAAATTTATGGTTATTAGTTTGTAACGCCAGTTTTTTATTGTATCAAAGTCTGATTCTACAGTATATTTCAATTCTTGCAAATTATTTACCTTATAGAATATTGTCGTGTCATCTGCAAATCCTAAAATGGGCAATTGAATCTTCAGCAAAAAAAAACATTAGATAATATACTTTGGCGATAGTATGATAAATGATTATTGAATGATTATTGAATATGTCAAGCAAGATATTTTTTTTGCTAGACTGTGGTATCACATTAGATAATCATGAAGGCCCAAGATTTTTATGAACGAAGAAACACTTATATTACAGAAAATTTTTGTATGGCAACTATCATTTTGTTGGGGGTAGAGCATACGCAGTCACTTTTCACGTCATTATTCCATACCATACCATGGCAGTTATTGTTATCATTATCTGTTCCTGTTGAAGACATCACAAGAGATTGTTCATCTCATATTGAGGTTTCATGAAGGTGAATGATTACTTGATTTCGCTGATTTTTTGAGCATTATCAAGAGAATAATCCTAATTCATACCCTCAATCTAGTAATTGAAATGTTCTCATATTCCAATTCATTAATGTTTTTCCACATTATTATTTATAAGGTGAATATAATGTGAAAATGTCTTTTTTCAGAAAGGTCTCCGACCTAATCGAAGAACGAAGTAACGTTATTTTAACGAAATATATTGGTTAGGAGAGGGTAACATTCACTTCTATTGAAATTGTAATTAGGATCCTGATATAATTATTCATGAATTCATTCGATGATCAACAAATTACCAAAATTCCTGGAAATATCAAAATAACTTCAATATCACGATATGATATAAACATCGTCGAAAACAAATTGCCACGAAAACTAGAGACCCGTATTTTGAAATTCAGAGTCTCCACTAAACAATTTTTCATTCCACGAATGAAGATAATTTTCATTTTGCAGACACACAATACGCAATTTTTCGAAATAAAAAAACAGATCTTGCTTCCGATATCGACTGCATAGTTACCTACCCGATTGTTTCTCACTTCTGGACTTCATTTCACGTGACTGTTTTGTTTTTATAGACCATATCTGAGTCTGGACTCAACTTGAGCATAATACAGCGTCAGCAACTGACTAATATTTAACACTTGTCTTAAATTTCTGAGCTGAAATGTAATCGAATTCAACTTCTTCATTAAAAATTTACAATGATTATGCCAGCCTAAACATTGGTCGATATGAAGTCCTAGGAATTTGGTACTTTCGGTGCCTGTCGTTACAGTATCTCCCCTCCCATTAATCTTGAAACTGATTGGTGTATAATATTTCTGTCTGTCATGGAAACGGCGGATCAGAACAGTTTTATCAACATTCATTGATAACTTATTTGCCGCAAACCATGAATTTAGGTTTCGAAAAACTTCAGCACATTTCTCTTCCAGGTCAGAATCCGACCTATCCGAGACGATAATAGAAGTGTCATCAGCGTACATTATTACTGTTTCTTCCGTTATTGAGTTTGCCAAATCATTTATATAAAACAGAAACAGTGTTGGGCCTAATATAGATCCTTGTGGCACCCCAAGGTCCGTAGAAATTATATCAGATCTCATTTTATTAACTTCTACAAACTGTTTTCTATGAGAGAGGTAATCCAATAACCAAGACAGCGGAAGACCACGTATGCCATACTTGTACAGTTTATCTTTTAGAATTTGATCATCTACACAGTCGAATACTCTGCTGAGATCATAAAATATCCCAACAGGGCACTCTCCTGAATCGAGAAATTTACTTATTTCGTTATAGGATGAATGTATTGCTGTTATGGTTGATTTCTTATTTAAAAATCCATGTTGATTTCTGGCAAAGACGTTATTATTAACACAGAACGGTATCATTCGATTGAAGAAGGCGTATTCAAAAATCTTCGAAAATCAAGATGGGATTATCACGGGTCTGTAATTTTCCAAGGATTGGGAACAATTTTTTTTATGGGTTGGAATAATTTTTCCATTTTAAGAGGGTCGGGAAATGATCCAGTGGTAAAGGATAAATTCACCAAATAGACCAATGGCCTCATCAAGACTGGTAGACATGTTCTCAAAACCAACATTGGGACCTCATCAAAGCCGGAAGAATATTTATTTTTCAATTTTTTTTTGTAAAAGGTTATATAGTTCAGTCTCCGTATAGGGACTAAGGTATAATGAGTTCGTAGGCGATACAATATTCCTCAAGAAGAGCTCATACCCTACATTGTTTTTATCTATCTTATTTATTATATCTACAGCAATGTCTCTGAAATAATGATTGAACATATTGGCAATCAAATTTGGTGATTCTACCAGACGGTTATTGTCTTTTATTATTATATTTTTTTGCTTACTATTTGACTTATTAGTTAAATGAGATACAATTCCCCACGCTGCTTTATGAATATTGTTCGCGTTTTCTATTTTACTCTGGTAGTATCATTTTTTAGTCGAATTGATCAGTTTTAAATGTTTTAGTTTCTCCTTATTGTAAAAAGTTAATAACTCGGGAAAAATTTGTTTCAACTTAAAAAGATCCTTTAAATTGTGGCTTGATTTTACAATTTCGGTATTGACCCAACCCTTGTTTTTATTATTATTCAAGTATTTTTTACGTTTTGGGAAATTTATCTCAAAATGGTATGAGAATTTCAATGAAAATTTAGAAAAAGCATCATTCATGTCAGATGTGCTCATTGAGTCTGACCAGTCTTCACTCTGTATTGTTGTGATTTTATTAGTTGATACTAGGAAAAACAATATCAATCTTTCAATCATGACATAGTCATGTTATACCAGTTACAACTTTACGGGTTTTTTGATAACTTAAATAATATTTTCAATATCGGTCCTGTGTAAGATCTCATATTATTGAATCTGAAATCTAACACGAAAATCATTATATTATCATTTATATTATATATAAATCATTATTATTTTGTATGTTACTTCATCTGAACTCACACATAATTAATAGTACTTGTGACTGCAACAGCATCGCCGGTTGAAGACAGTACTGATATATGTGCAGTACCATGATCTTCCACTAACGAACTGGTAGCTCCATAATACGAACCATTTTGGGAAGTACTGTTGTCATGAATCAACCATCTGATACTCTCTGCGAAATCTTTCCTCGTCAGGTTACGGACAAGCTGGAATCGTAAATAAAATAAACGATATTTTAGACACCAGAGCGCAAAAACGTCATGAATACAACAGCTGAACTCTTCTGTAATCAACAAGAACTACTCGTTTAGAAAAAAATCGAATGAAACTCTCAATATTATCGCCGTGTCCTACCGAAATTATTCTTGTTGGGGAAAGAAGAACTTGAATTTATGACCCATCCCGAACCACTATAGCCATAGATCACTATGATGATCTATGGCAGATGAAAATATCACTGTTATGGGTATAGGATTATGAATAAAATACTTCCGGACTAGGGTATCATATAATTGAATAATCGCAATGGAAGCTACAGAGAAAGACAAAAAATAAATCTCATTCAAACGGATCGCCTCCAAAAGTCTTATTCACTATTGATAGTATATTTTTTTATCATTCATCATTCTGGAGTAATTCAGCAGTATCGGTGCTTTTGGATATATTCAGCCTACCATTGTTCAGTATCGCTTCGCTGATTGAGAGTTGAATATTTTTTGTCAGTCCAGTGGACTGCATTTTTGATATTATTTTCAGCTTCCTTTTCCATTTTGAAACATCAGTAGAATAAATCATCTCCAACATAGAATCTAATATAGACTAAATAATGAAGGCATATGCATATGAACAATTGGAAACTATTTCATGGCTTAAATGCTTTCTTCGGCATAGACAATTGAATATCAAGGAAACACTTATATTTGATGTATATGATATGATACTCAGAATATGCTTGGAATTTGACGTAACGAACGTTACTGACTCTTCAATATTTAACTTTTGTTATGTTAAGATTTTCTTCTCTTTTTTCATGACTTTTGTTAAGAATGAAATGTTACCAAAATTAATTATTTTTTTGTTCCCGACAGTATTTCAGTCTATTTGAAAAACCAATACATTTGACTTTTTTGAAAACAGGAGTTTTGATGGAACCCTGGAAAAAATATTTCGAGAAGACAATGATGAAACGGAAGTTTTTCACGCATCAGTCATGTGAATTAGACCAACTTTGGAATATTTCTCACATATCATTGTCTCAAAGATTGCTGAATTTCATCTATAAACCATTTTTCCAAACAAAAAATATATTGTAGGTAGATTCAAATTTATGTTGAATCTGTATTCCAAATTGTTTCTCTAATTTTTGTACATGTCTAGAAACTCATTCAACTTCAAAATCAATCAACCAATTTATGTTCTTTGTCAGTATAAAATCAGTTATCATAATATTAATTTGGTTAGTCAGACTTCATACTCACTTCTTTAACGTTTGGCACAAATTTCTCGTCTCCTAATTCAGTTCTTTTGGCGTAGGCGAATTTGAAACTCTCAACTATTCTTTGATAATTAACAATCGAAAACGGATTTGATTCGTTCAGGAAGCCATCCAAAATATTCATGATGAAAGCCAAAATTGCTCCAGAACCAGGAACAGGAGATGAGTACAGATTATGATTTCCATTGATAGTAGAGGTGACTGGTTTACTCCATTCCGGTCTGAGATTGAAATATACATTTCAGAAGTTGTGTAGAAGAAGGTGATAACTATTGGAAAATAACGTTGATGATATCGAAAAGTACATTATTTCATGGAGCTTTGGAGAAATTTTAATAACATATATCATTTAATAAACTACACCTTACGATTTTATCTCCACAAACATTATTTGAGAAATATATCACCTGGTGAAATAATGAACAGAAAAGTAGATAATAGTATATTATGCAACGATCATGTAATGATGGTTATTAAGACACGAGCATTAACCGGGATACGAAACGAGCCGAAGTCAGTCATTGTATTACGTAGATATGTTTTTGAATGAAGTAAAGCTGGAAAATTTCTCTCTGCTGTACTGTTAGTCACATATCTTGATGTGTGAAAGAAAATCGGCAAACTTATAATCTTGCGTTGGGTGTATAAACAACTTATTTTCGGAATTTTGGATTTTCACATTTGCTTTTAAATTCGTAACTCACCTTACAAAGCCAAAAATCATGGCAAATCTTCTCTGCTCCTTGAAAAATGTCAGTAATGTAGGCGTCATATATATGGGGTGTTAACAAGTGTTGCAGTTTGCCTACACATTCTATCTCCTTTTTGGATAACCTTGCCATCAGTTCATTCATAATGAAATTAAGAAACAGGATGTACACTTACATGCGATAATAGACCTCAGGTGAGGTACATTACATCGTTTTTTTTTGTCGAGCTGTTGTCCTAGGCATTTGAGTAAGTGTACCCATTTCTTTCGCGAAATTAACCGTCTAGTTATAAAGCTCCTTGAAGGTGTCAAAGCTGTTGTCTCGTTTTTTTTCTGTATGCTTTGTACTGTAGCTGCTACAAGATGCGAAGTATGCAGCACATCCATGTATTCTTCTTGAAGTTTGCGAGGTGAGGGTAAAGTTACTCCAAGTACCTCAGCCAACACTTCTAAACTAATTAAAAACTCTGACGACAGAATAGGGTGGAGGAAAGTAACTGCATTACTGCGTCTACCTTCTGGTGAACTAGTAATGGCTTGGAGGACAGTGGGGAGTGCAGGAAAGTGTTTCATGAATGTCAACTCGACTTTAAGCCTTTCTATCCATCTTGTTTCACACAGTTTTTTTAAACCATTTTTCTCTGGTTTGAGGTGATGATTTTTTCGCATCTCTTCTTCCAAAGCTTCCAAAGACTTTTAGCAAAGTCACGAAAAAAAAATTCCAGGGCAGATATAACTCACATAGCATTTATGATGATAGAAAGCTTTGCTTATAGCCAAGTTTAGCCTATCCAACAAAAGCTTGTCTTTGGCAATTAGCCAAATGAAGATTCATCTTTCCTGTTTCTATCTGACTATGAGGACCGAGCTAAGCTATGAATTCAACGTGGAAACATAGCCTCCGTCTAGTCTAACCAGGATAGTACATTAACTTTCAACTTTGATAATTCCACCTGATTATCAGTATATTATCTATCTATTTTTTTTTTCTCAAAGCGTTAATATTTCATCTCTTTGTAGCACCCTCGTACAGTACTGAATGAAAGCTGACGTGAAGCATTCCCACTCATATACACAACGAAGGGTTGTGTATATGACAAAATTCGAAACAATAATAACTTCTGCCGAAAATATATTGTCCCAAGTCAGTTTTCTTATTAATGTCAACCAGATTAACAACATTGTCTTATTTCATGAATAATTGAAGATATAGTTGCTTGAACATCATGAGGGAATCAAATTGAGGTGTTTCTGGTTTTTCTTCAGTGTTTTCTTTTCACAATGATATTCGATCATAGATATGTACCAGTTAACTCATTCAACTCGTCTAATAAGACTTTGAAGGTGAGCATTGGCTGACGTCCGACTATTTTTAATGATTGACTCATTCTGAACTCTGAACTACCGTGCTCACAGATTACAATTGCGGTTGAGTTGAATGGTTACAATATGTGAAGCATTTCAACAACCAACGAAATATGCCTTAATTTCTACCATAATTATAATTTTTATTGCAAATGGAAATGACTCACGTGTATTTTTTAAGATCGTCCACCGTTATTATACCGTCATGATCTCTGATATCTTGCACGAAAGCTTCCGTGAGTGATCCATTGTGCAACGCATTCCCACCTTCCTCTGCTATTATTTCTAGAGTTCTGGCTAATCTTGGTCTGGTGTAATACTCTCCTTCGGAATAAGTGTCGTTTGTTTCCGGTTTGATGAAGATCTCCCTATTCGAAATAAAATGAGTTTGAAATGTTCCAAGTTATATTCATCCATTCATATATGTTTTGTACAGTTTGTCAAGAATAGAAAAAAGTTTCAAAATCTTAATTTGAGGCCGCGTTAGCTATGCGCAGAAGATAGGAGTGGAAACGCCCACAGCCCAGTCAGTGGAATTTGTCTGTTGTGATGTGAGCATCGCGGATTGAAAGAGAGTATAGTCGGAGCAGAAATGAAGCGTAAAAGGTACAATTTGAGTATTGTAACTTAACCAGGATGGAGTTTGAATCAAACCTAAATCGTAAAGTGCTGACCAGTCAAATGAGGAAAGCCAATGTAATTTTTTTTGAAACGAGAAGTGGCAGAAAATAAACCTGTAACGGACTTTAAAAAAGATCAAGAAAGAGCTGCTATGGTAACTGGCGTAATTATAAGCAGTAAACAAAAAATTTCAAAGTAAATGAAATCGATTGAGAATGGAGAAGCCGCTGATTTTTTGGCACCAAATATGAAAAGAAAGAAATCCGCAGCTGAAGCTAACTTAGATGGTTTTGATAAAGGATTGCTTCGACTGTAGATTTTAGCTTGAAGACCGTGGAAAGATCATGCGATGAATTTTTTAGTACGTTTTTATTCATAATTTTCTAACTCAAAAGAATACTAATCTCATAATTTAAAAAATTATCTTTATAGCCCTCATTTCCTGTCTTCACCAAAATTATTTTGAATTCAATAATGAGATGGACTAATAGTGGGGACTTTGTACGTTGGTTTCACAGTTCATTCAGGAGACTATACATCCACACTAAGCAGAGACAATTTCAATCGCAAATATGAGCATCTTTGTTCCTCAGAATGCTTTGTAGCATTCGCAGGCCGCAAAAATTTCACCCTTTTTTCTATTCTTGACAAACTATATCATCATTCTTTCATATCTAGTTACTTTTCATCAAATGAAAATTGATGAAATGGCTAAAAATATATTGGATCATTTGACAAAAATACACCCATTTTTTCCTCAAGGCATGAAGTGACAGAAAATTGAGTTTAATTATTTTTATATTTTCTTTTTTTAATATTTTTCTAAATGTTTTTTCATCTTCGGTATCAACAGTATGGACTAATGTGCACAATAATCTCGTATTTTGGGTAGGATATGTTGAAAACCCCTGATAGATTTGACATTGATGATTCTGCAAGGACTCACCTCAAAACTTTATCAGCATATAATGACTCCTTATAATTTCTCAGTACATTACCTACATATGGTGTGACTAATATTCCGTTTTTACACATATCTATAGTGGGCTGCACCAAATCTCTCCAAGGTACGTCACCACCAAATTTTTTGTAGGCCATCCAATAACCTCTTAGTTCAGCTGGTACAGCCACGGATAACCCACCTTGAATTGAAAATCAATTGAAGGAATATTTATGCATTTTGATATGTATTCAATGTCTTTTCAAAAAAATCTGACAATGATGAACATTAGTATATCTGGAACATTCACTCTTTTCGCTGACGACACAACTATATTGTGGCATAGTAAAGGTATAGATATACTGAATGAGACAACAGCTTATGGTATACAAAAAATCAAGTCTTGGTGTGATTCCAATCTACTCTCCTATTTTTAACATTTTTAAATGTTATGACGTTCAAATGTTCACTTCAAAATTCATCTGTAGCGAGCGGTATCATTGAGAACAGATAGTGTATTGAATTTCTGGGATTGTATATAGACGGTGGACTAAAATTTGACGCTCACATCAGAAAAATGAAAAGTAACATTTCCACCGGCTGTTAGCAGGGAGAGTTATTGCTAGAGAACTGGGAGTTTATACTGCAAAAATAGCATATATCACGCTTGGGTAGAGTCTCACTTAAGGTACGGTATACCTTTTTGGGGTGTGTGTAGCCTTAATTTGCTGGAGTCTGTATTTGTATCACAGAAGAGAGCTATACGATACTTGTAAGATATATAACCATCTGCCCAGTTACACTAAAGTGATAAATATTGATACCAATCAGTATAGAAAATGTATTAAAGAATTTTGAGTAGTAGACCCTATTACAGTATGACTGAGTTCTATACCGATCATGTTTCATGTGTACGTATGTTTCAATCATTGTTTGTGGTTTCTTATTCAGTGTTTTTATAATTTAGTTTACATTATATGATTTAAGTCGCATCCAAAAGTTTCAAGAAAAATAATTCTCTTGAAATGAATCGCTCTCGTGGAATTTAATAATCTTAGACTGACTATGCATTGTGTATTTTCATGTTTTTTTTTTATTTTTAATTATTTTATGTGATTCACTTCATTGTTTATTCGTTCGTTTTTTTTTTCTGAACCAAATTTGATCTTATTTCAGTTCACGTTTTTCTTATAATTCTCCACTGTTATTTTTCAAATTCTCAAAAACATTATGTATTTGAAATATGTAGAAAGTTCCCTTGAATGAACCTATTGTTGATTGACATATAATACTATACTGGGCTTTCTTTATTATCTGTGCAGTTATAATATAATAGTCACTCCACTGAATGAGGGAAAATAGATATGATATGGCTCACCATTAAGTGAGAGATCAGCATTTCCATGAAACATATCCTGATGAGCAGCGGCTGGAGCCCTTTCTCTGGAATTGAGTGACCATGCTTCCCCGGTTGTTCTATTATAGATTGTCATCAGAAATCCACCTCCCAATCCCATAGATTGTGGCATGGCCACTCCTTCGCAAAACAGTGCTGCAATTGCAGCATCGACTGCATTTCCTCCTTTTTCCAATATATTTCTGTTGATTACAAATTATGATTACACGGATTGTAATGATATCTCAAATGTAAAGTAAATGAACAAATACACACGAACAAGCGGTTGTTTGTACATGAATAACATGAAGTCAGTGAACATATAATGAATATGATTTCGAATGATAATAATTAGTGGATAATAAAATGTATGATCAAAATGTATACAGTTCATTTCTTTAATGTCCCACCCCCTATTATTTTTTGAACGGGTCAACTCAAAAAATGAAAACTAAGGATAGTGAAATTAATGCAGAAATAATTTATTTTTAGGTGAAACTGACAGATGAAACTTTCAAGATGGCGACTGGCCGTCTTCTGGGAATAAATTGAATAGAAAGGGGGTTTTGCGACAAAATTTTTTGAAGCTCCTGACAAATGCTTCACAACCCTAGAATATGATGTCAATATCTTCAACGACTGAAAAATGTCAGAATTTTCAATAATTGCCTGAAAACATTGACATTTAACTACATATTATGAGGTAATAAGCTTGAGGTCAGTTCAGAAGATGCTCGAAATGGTTGCTTTGAACTTCTTGACATATGAACAGCCTATCCGATATTTCACGCCGAACATTTTCGAACACAGTAACGTAAATATCTCTACAAATATTTATTATTCTCTGCCGTATATCCAATATTGAAGCAGGTTCAGTTACATTAACCTTTCGCTTCAAATAACCCTATAAAAAAAGTCCAAAAGTGTCAAATTTGGCGAGCGGGCTGGCCAAACTGTAGGACTTCGACAGCCAATCCAACGACCGGGAAAAGTAGTATCCAAATAGTTTCTTACTTGTCTGGAGTAATGTGGTGGTGCTCCATCTTGTTGGAATACAATATCCATATCTAATTCATCAAGATTCGCTTTGACGATTTCAGTGATGAGAAGTTCAACAGTAGTTTCTAGCATATTCAAATACAGTTAACCTGTTAAATTTTGATCAATAAATAGAGGTCCTTCAATATGGTTTCACAATATTCCTGGTCAAACGTTAATTTTTCTGAATATTGGGTATGTATTTCCAGGAAAACATGAGGGTTAGTGTCACTCCAATAACGGTAATTTTGTCTGTGTTTGTTTGTGAACATTGCTGTTTGAACAAAATGTACATTAGTCACTAAAACAAATATTGTGGAGATAGGTAGGATGCCTTGCAATAATTTCCGTCATGATTCCGCAAAATTCTGTTCTTCGATCAGGGACATCTTCAGTTAATTGGTGTACCATTTTATTTTTGTATGGATGATACCTATTCCTCTTCAAAAGTCTCCTCACAGTTGAAGGAGACACCTCACAAACATTCGCGACGAAAGGAGTAGACTATTCAGGATTTACTACCGTCTCACCAATTATTTGCACTTGCTGTTCTTGCGGAATGGACGGATGGCCTGGGGGCTTTTTGTTATGTACACTACCGGTAGTTGTGAATTTGGATACAAGCTCCCTCAAATATTTTCTACAGATCGGACGATTCGGAAAACGTTCATTGAGAATCCTTTCGGTATCGTGAAAGTTACGCGTAGCACCGTAAATAAATATCGCTTCAATTTTATCTTCCAATGAACAAGAATTGACCATTTCAGAGATTGTTGACGTGGTACCTTCCTACTAGTAAAACCGAAAACTAAATTATCGTACTGACATTTTTTGTGGTTTTTATAAACAAAAAATACCTGAACAAACTTTATCGGGTTGTTGGAATTGTCATATGGCAGATAAAAAGGAATATTTCTAAAAATATCGATAGAAATGTGTTTGACTTCAGGAAATTATTAAATGTTTCGCCATTTTGTAGTAAGTGAAGATATGGACTTCATATTCCAGGGTTGTGTAGTATTCGTCAGGAGCTTCGAAATAATATGTCACGAGACCCCCTTTTCTATTTAATTTTTTTCCAGATGGCGCCCAGTCGCCATCTTGAAAGTTTCATCTGTCAATTTCATTTCAAAATGAAGTTCTCATGACTTCGAAGTTTCAGAAGTATACCTTGTGGTTTTCCGTTCTCATTTCCTTTTCCTTTGCGGTGACAGAGTACTAAGTCTTCATCACTCAATTTCGTAAGTATCTTCGAAGTTAACAGTTCAGTTACTTCTTTCTGGTATTTTCTGGAAAGCTGAATACTCTCAGGTTATTTTTTCATTTTCTTGCTCCATATAATCAAATTTACCTAAGAGGCTTTCATTATCATCTCTCAATTTCTGTACTGTATCATCCTATATGTTTGATTTCGTTTCGTATTCATGTTTTGTTTGAATGGATTCATGCCACAGTTGCTCCATTATTTGTTCCATCTGCGCAAGCTTCTCATCAATTGTTTTTGTTACTGCTTCCGGGACACTAGCTGCTGATGTTTTCATCAATATCCGATCACTAAGACATTGCCTAAATGCTTCATTCACGGCATTTTGAATTTTATCTCTCATTCCTCTCATGATAACCATAATTCAATTTTCAAGTAACACATAGAGATTCAATGAAGACGTCTGCCATGTTTGAAAATTTTTGAAGCACGTTTTTTTAGTAAATTAAGATATTTTTTGGGAGCACTTCGACACACTACTCACTGTCGAACATCACAATAACTCGTTACGTTATGAAAATAAAAAAAAATGTATGATAATAATTATACTACCGTGTAGCGATTTCTATACGATAGCTTCATCAATTGAACTTGTACAATCAACAATTTCAAGACCCATTTCCACACGAGTGTGGCGAAACGGGTCTTGAATGAAATTACCTGTGGAAAATGTATAATTATTTTCATGGATGGAATGAATACTTCGAGAGAGTTAAAACAACCAAGTTATCACTTCAGACAACTACAAACAAAGACATTCATTCATAAAGAAATTATTTTTCTCTAGCATTTACCTAAATACTGCGAACTATCAGAAAAAAATGTGGGAGAAAGAGGTTTCGGTTTACTACTACTCCATCTCCATACGAAAAATGTGGATAACTTTTTTATTTCCTTCGGAAGTTTTCCACATTTATGCATGGAGATGGAGAGGTAGGAAGCCGAAACCTTTTTTCCCAGAACTAATCACTTCTGAATTTATTTCCTTTTCGAACAAAAAATTATAAATAAAACTCCCAAGTATATATGTACACATGAATTTATTCAACTTCGTTATTCACTTCGTTAACAAAAATATTATTCGAATGAGATTACAGATGATTCAGTAATCTGAAATGTATTTTCATTTTTGTTCCTCATAGCAGTCTCTTCAAAATGATCTTCTCTGCTTCAGTTTCATTTCTCTATCAATGACATTCTTCTGTTTCCATCTAAAATTCAAAAATTTTTACTTTTACAATTCTCAGTGAACTGAAAATATAGTCAATAAATTGATGTGACAAAATCAAAATCATTTCATCAATTTCATTGATTAATCTATAATCTATATTTGTGTTATCAGTTCAGGAGGGTATTTTAATTTTAAACAGTATTTACTTGCGTAATGATAGCGTTTGCATCTCTCAATCTTTCATGTGTACTATAAAATATTATCAAAAATATAAACTCAGTTACATTCTATCATTTAGAGGTGACTCACAAGGTCGAATAAACTTAAGAAACGTGAGTTTTTTTAAATAAAATGAATATTTCATCGATAACCATTCAATAGTGATAATTTGTGCCACACATCTATACTAACATTATTTATCATTTATTGTTCATCTAATGAAAGAATCTATTATAAAAATATTGTATAAAGCTCATACACCTACCATTCTTACTATCACCAATGTTCCAAAAGGTTTATTCATTGCTTGTCAACTGATGGAATACATCTTTCTATGGGTTTCCTTATTGCGTCCTACCCTGAAGAGATGTTATGGTTCCAATCGATATTTTCACTCATTTCAACAAATATGTCTGTTTTGTCTGTTGGTACAATCTCAGTCAAAATGCAGAAGCTTGGTTATACATTCTGTTGTTCACAAAAATGTAAACTGTTTCAAAAATTAAATATTTCAAGTAGTCAAAACCACTGTAAACCCATAAAATACCAGTACTTTTCTTTTTCATTTCATTCGATACTATACGAATGTTGTCTCATGAACATTGGGCATTGGTTTTCAAAACCAAAGCAGATTATTATTTCCAGCATTGCAGAATGTATCCTGGGAATATTTGAAGGATGTTACCTAGTATACTAGAGATGGCATAAGGACAATATGGGAATCTTATGTAATTCATGTTCATAAGATATACAGGGTGTATATGCATCGATATAGAAAATTGTGAATATCTCGAAAACGATCACCATCAGCGTTGTTGAGGAAGTTTGCCGTTTTCACTTGGAGAAGTTGCAGAAATTAGGTTTTCTCATGAAAAGTACCAAAAGTTCACTTTCAAAAAAGTTCTGGCGATTCGAAATAAATAATGACAGCACCCTCTATATGTCACATAAAAATTAATACGAAAAAACTCGTGATACCAAATTTCGTGCAAATAATGTATATTTTTCAAGTCATTTTTGTGAAAAAAAACAAAAAAAAATCAATTTCAACACTCTGTATTTCCGAAACGAAGCATTTCCAGACAAAATTTTATATAGACTTATTTCGTGAATTTCTGTCACGAATACGTCATCTGAATATTTCAACGTTCTTGTGTTACCCTGTATACCCTGTATAGATACATACAATGGCATGAACAAATTTTAATCCATTCATACATACACACTGTACAGGATATCCCAAATTCGAGGGTGACCATTGGGATTTCGGAAGCCATAAGAGATACAGGGTTGATTTAATGAGAAAAAGTTGCGAAATTCGGTACTCTTCCAAATAATGTTTCAGATTCTGAAAAATTTCGAATACTTTCGGAGATATGCTGAAGAATATAAAATGACTGATTTCGTTTTCATTTTTTCCCAACGTTATTTGAAGCGCTGTCAAAAAACAGAAAACACTTTCTTTTAGCTCTTTTTTTAGTTCTACAACATGCCTTATTCAGATTTTGAAATGGACATTCGGTTCTTCAGAAACCATCATCAACTTCTGTTTTTTCTTATGTATAGACCGATCTAATGAAATATCCTGTATTCGATAGGGATTTTCGAAACAAATTCAATGATATATCATAATCCATTATTTGAAAATTGTTTTTGATAAAAATGACGACTATATTTCCATTTCATTTTCAATAGGGGAGCCCAAGCGGGGATTTCGGGATTTACTAAAGCGCGGCTGATTATTATACAGGGGGATACCTTGTACCAAATCTGAGCCCCATATATGAGGCCGCCTGTGAGGGATAAACGATCAGATGAGTAAAAAAAAAATTGATCATCAGAAATTCTCGAACGCATCAGATTGGGGTAGGGTGAGTTGATTACTTGCTGAAAAGTGCATATTCCAGTAATCTGACAATTTGAGAGGGACGTAAAGAAAGGGAAGGGCAGCAAAATTGTAAAAAAATAACGTCATTTCGACATTCTCGAACGTAGCTGATTTTTTTTCATTTTGAAGGAAATAATTCAAGGATAACGAAAAATATATGATCTGACGATTTCCGCAAGCCGAACTAACAAAAATTCTTCGATAAAGTTTATTGCGTGCAGCTGTGTGATACCTATATTTCCCTCTCCAAATTTCTTTTCCTCTATTCTCTATTCACTTTTTCTCTATCTATTACTCTCTCACTCCGTCCTTACTCTGAATTCTGTTGCCAAAACGCCATCACAGCTGATCACAGAGACTCGTTCGTGATTCAGTTCCATCCCATAAGGACATTTTCAAACTTATACAATATAAAAGTTTGAAAATGTCCATATAGGACAAAACCGCAGTAACGTTAGTTACAAATAAAAGTGTTAAAAAATATAGAAAGTTTCATTTCTCTTTTCTTCATTAATTAATCAATCGATTATAAAAAATCAAATTATTTTGAGCATTTTTAAAAAAGTATTTTCTTATAACTACTAGTATTCTACTTAAAAAACATACACTTATTTATTTGCATGCTATTTCCTGAGCCTTTCAATTAATTAAGTCCAATGAATTGAAAAAAAAAATATATTGTTTATGTCAGATTAAGCGAATCTCTCTAGATAATCATCAGATTATGAGACAGCACGTCCAAAATATGAAGATGAACCAAATATATCTTAATCTGACGCACTTGAATATTTCAAAATGGCGAATTTATTTTGCACATTATAATAATGGCCGTGAGTTTGCGTCAGATCGGAATCGTCAGATTATTGAATGAGAGCTTTTTTTTGTGGCACTTAACACCCCCTTAGAAAATCTTACGCGCTCGAATAATTTTTTTTCTTTTCACTTTTAACCCCTACGTTCAACCACCCACATCATGCAAACGATCTGATTATCATACCAACATTATTAAAAATACGTAGGACATTGTTGCTATCAATATCTGACGCGCTCATCATGCAAACGATCAGATTATCATACCAACATTATTAAAAATACGTAGGACATTGTTGCTATCAATATCTGACGCGCTCGAGTATGTTCATGCAACAGTATTTTTTTACATATTTAAAAATCTATAGCCGCTTCCCTCACCGATGAAAAGGTGAATATTATATAACCTTTTTTTCTTCTTATCATCTATGCTTTGCAACCTAATACGTCTCAATGACGCTCGAGTAAATCCCGATTTTCAATCGTGGGCTCCCCTGCTATTAAAACAATAGGATATTCAGAAGTGACATTCGCCAGATAACTGACTGAAATGATAGGCGGCTATGGACCAAAATGACAATTTTCAATTAAAGCATCATTTCTTATTGGAAATTTCTATTTTCCCATCGAAAAGAGCGTGTTCTTTGAGGTTTTCAGTTTCATCATCATTTTGAAACAAAAAATACATCAAATCATGAGACATGTCTCTTCAGTAAACGATCACTGAACAAACAATTAGCAAGCTAGAACTTAGTTAGTAATAAAAAATAGGAACTCTGAACATAAATCACAAAATTTTAATTTTTTTTCCAAAGACAAAACACAAGTACTACAGAAAATCCTTGAGGCGTTCTAAGAGCGGTTTCCCTGCGAAAGTAATGATTCACATTGGATTTGAATCGAAAGTTTATTCCAGTCGAGCGCCGTTCTCCAAATGGAGGAGTTATTGAACAGTGAAATTCGAGATGTACTGAGTTGAACCTCAAAAGGACGAGCAGCCACAGTCGGTCACGTATTTCTTATATGTATCGCTCTTGTTGTAATCAAATATGCCAAGCCACTTAAATACTTCCCGTGAAAGTATCTATAGGAGAGAGACAAATCTCCAACCTTTCTTCGATGTTTCAGACTATCAAGATTGCAAATGATGTTCGTGTCTGCAATCAGGCGAATGGCTCTTTTCTGAATATAATCTAGCAGCTTCAGGGTATGTTTGGGGGCGTACTTTCATACATGAGAACAATATGTACTCCGAAGAAAGCCTGATCTGAGATTTGTAAAGCATCAAAAGTTGCTGACATGTGTACAGTTTTCTGGTTCTGAATAGTGTTTCAAGCTTTTAAGAAGCGGCATTTGCAATTCCAACAACATTTTTGGGGTTCATTTCAGCCCCCAGCAGACTTATCAGAGCAGAAAGTGAAATTATCTGACCTGTCATTACTATATCCAGTTCGGAGACATTTATCTTTTTGAAGAGAACTGATGCCTGGGCTTCTGTGGCATTGAATTGAATCTAGTTACTTTCACCCCAATTTGAAATCACTCCTAGATCCTCATTGAGATATTCAACCTCCTGCTGCCGGTGAAGATGTGCGTCCGCAGCCGATGTCCTGGAATCCAAATGGAATGACAAACAATTGTGATGTGGTCAGCAAAGCAGTGTTTTGGATTCTTGGTTTCTTCTAATAAGTCGTTGATATACAATAAAAAGAGGGTTGGAGACAATATAGATCCCTGGCGAACGCCTTCCAAATATTAAAGGATACACCTATTTATGTAATATTGTCAAATTGTGAACTTTTGCTTCGATGCATTCTGTGGCGGAAATGACCTAATTTATGTAATTGAATTGAGCCTAGTTGGTTAATCTCATAGTATAGACGATTTCTGAAGTTACTCCATAAAAAATAATCCAGAGTGTTCAGGTATCGACTTCTAGCAGACCATTGCACAGGTCCCCGTTTTCCAATCCAGGTAGGTCGGTAGCCAAGCGGTTCAGCGTGGATGCTTTGTTTACTGACTCAAAGTGACTGCCGTGTTGGTCGGTGGTTCAAGCCCTAGTCTGAACGATCGATCTTCACTTGCTATCGTCTAACCCGTGTTAGGAATCACACGTTAAAAGGCAAGACCTCGTTAATCCTTAGCTCGCACAAGTTTCGACTTCTGAGGGTTGTCGTTCGTAGGGGTGCGACAGCTGGTTAACGGAAAAACAGATTTAAAACAGTTATTTGGGAGTATTTCATTTATTTTGCTCATTGTGGCTATTGATACCATTAGTATTGAAGTTCGCCATATTCTCATTCTGAGCAGTTGCATTTCATTTTGAGAATGCCTAATTGATCCTCGAGTTGAATAATCCAACTCATATAAAAAATTATTGACAAAGGCGAAATTTATATATTTTTGATTGTGTTTTAAAGCTAACAAAATTTGAAAAATTTTGTTCTTCCTCAGATTTTGTTCACTGGCTATATTTTTTCTGGGTTTTTCAAAACTTCCAAACTTCAACAAATGTTTATCAGTTTGTAAAAGTAATTTTCATGTGGCTGCAACCGTTCAGAATACTGGTGGAAGTATCGCTCACTAGAAATTCTAAAATTTCGATTTGACCAATGATAAATCCGTGACATATCACGCTTTTCTGAATTTATAGAAATTGTGAATGAGAATTACCATAACTGATATTGTTTCATTTAGAAAATAACATTTTTATTTGGGTTCACAGCCGCCTTTCATTTCAGTCAGTTACCCAGCCAATGTCACTTTTGCATAACCTACTGTTCAGATAAAAATAAAATAAAATAACATCGTCATTTTCATCAAAACTATTTTCCAGTATTGAACTGTGGTATATCATTTAGTTTTTTTTGAAATGCTATATCGAACACTCTTCATACATATTTTTCCATATAAAAAACGAAGCTGATGATGGTTTCTGAAGAACCAAACGTTATAACCAAAATCTTAGCACTGCATATTGTAGAAGGAGAGAAGTTTATACAAAAAAGTGCCTTTTGTTTTTCAATAGCGCTTCAAATAACGTCAGTTTTTTCAGTATATCTCCGGAAGTATTTGGAATTTTACAGTTTTCCCAACATCATTTACACGAAAACATATAAACATAACTATCAAATACATACATTAGGGAATGTGTAAACATATAATCGTAAAAGTGAGAATTTTCTCAAAATTTCAAATTACATTACAAAAATTCTTCTAGTTTGTGATGAGACCATTTTCATTTTTTTCAGCATCTTTTGAGAGAATCACAAATTACACATTTTTCTTTATAAAGGTATAATTCCTTTGAGTTCACACTGAATTATTTTTGTCTTTATATAAATAACTGTGACGAATAATATTCACTTCTGCTTCATAATCTTACAGCTTTCTCCACTCGTCATAGAGAATCTCTAACATTTTTTCTGAAAATTAGAGATTTTTGACATGCCGGTTGAATTTCCTCAAAATATTGTGCTATATTGAAGGTACAACAAATTTATAGTCGGTAGCTACAGCTGTCCGAATCGTTAGATTTTGTCTTACTATTTCCAAGGCATAACAGTATCAGTATGAAGTTTCCAGTCAAGTCTGTGATCTGATTGTGAACCAATTCATATAATCTTTTATGACAATGCAATTTCAACTCCGTTGAAATCTACAGAAATAGTGTAGTATTTTTGTTTATTGGAATTTAATATTTGTATCTTATCTACATTGATTGATAGATTATTCGCTGAAAACTAATTGACAAAAAAATCATCTGCTTTAAAGACCACATTTCCTTGTAATACATTTGGGATTTCATTTCTTTTCGCTGAAAGAATGGCAATGGCTGAGTACAATCAATAGTTGTACATTTGATAACTTATTCAATACAAACACATTTCTCAAACACCAGAAATGCAATACTTTTCTTGATGCGCGTTTCACCAATCAAGTTGGCGTCTTCAGGAGAGGAAGAAAACTTCATGCCTGTATTGCATTTCTGATTATGGGAAATTATGGGAAAAAATGCTTGTTTTGGATTCATTTGATAATACTACTAAGTGATCATCACTAGATGAGACGGTAGCACGATAGCCTGTCGGGTTGACGTGGGTGGTTTTCTCCACTCACTCAATCGACCACTGTGAGAATCGGTGGTTCAAACCGAGAGGACGGACGATTAATTTGCACTTTCTATCGTTCAACCCGTGTTAGGAATCACACGCTCAATGGTAAGACTTCGTTAGTCTTCAGCTTCCACAAGTTTCGACTTTTGAGAGTTGTCGTCCGTAGGGGGCAACAACTGTTCAAGAGAAAAACGGATTTCTAACAGAATTTTTCTAACCACTTTTTGATTAGCTGCATTTGATTTATTCATTTTGGGAAATCTCTGGATTCCACAAAATTATATCTTTAGATATTCATACTTTTATAGCCCCTACAGAAGGTTGAATTTCGAAACGAACAACAATAAAATGATTATAAATTTCAAACAAATCTATTCATCCATCTTCAAGATTGATAAAGCTTAAATGATATGAAATGCAAACGTACAAAATTCCAAATCAAAAACGAAGAAAAGATTATTTTTCTCACCTGGCCAGATTGTGTAGGTAACATTCACTGAAGATGATTATGAGTATCAAATATATCTGAATATTCATTGCCGTTACCAAAACTCATGAATTGATAAATTGAAATCAATTTATATTATCACACTTTTGAATTTCTGATACTCCTCACTATATTGAATACGTCAAATATTGTTAGACTAATTTTTGGGAAAGAAAGTTTTTAGCTTTCTACTACTCCGTCTTTATACGGAGAAATCTGAGAATCTTTCAAAGAAAGGAAGGAGGTGATACATTTTTAAAGAAGTAACTTTATACATAGTGTGTAGATCATGCAAAGAAGTAACTTTGAGACACAAATTGGAAAAAGAAGCCTTCCTGAAACAGATACTTTCATATAAACATTAAATCACATGAAAGAAAAATCATTTTCATAAACTAACAAGATTTCTTCAGTAGTGTTCATAATATTGTTTTTTGTAGAAATAAATATCATACATACATACATACATACATACATAATACATAATACATACATACATACATAATAAATATCATACATGATTTTAAATTTTAAATTTTAATTGTGACATTTAAATTTTTAAATTAGATTAAGACCAATATTGTAACTGCATTAGCTTGTGCTAAATAAACGATACATATACCACAATGAAAGTATCATTTTTCAAATATTTGTTGATATATTTTGGAAATGAATCTTTTTATAGGTATGCCAACTAATGAAGCCGTCAACTTAGTACTTAGTCGACCAAATTTCGACTTTAGAGAGTTGTCGTTTGTAGGGGATCGACATCTGGTCAACAGAAAATCAGATTTCAAGCCTATCATGCAAATCATATAATTCTACTATGACAACTACCCTATCCTATTTCAATGATCTTTCAACATCAATGGTGTACAGTTATGAAACCTGGATAATAGTGAAGAAATATATCTATCTATCTTCTGTTCATAAACAGCATTTTCATATTCTAGTACAGAAAGGGATTTTTGTCGAAAAGAATAAAATGAACATATTCAAAATATTAATCATAATGAAATATACATCTTTCAATTATGATTGAAGGAAAGTTATATTTGTAATATTTTTTCAAAGAACAACAAACCTCCGTTCCGCTTCGAATCTAAAGTAAATAATGCCAACATGGAAAAATCAGAAACTGTAAAAATTGAAAAGTCGGTTGAATTAGGAAAATTTGCCCATTTGCCCATTTCAGATTTCATTTCAATGGCATTTCAAAGTCCACTGATCAAAGAATTACAACTTTCTCCTAATTCACCCGACATTGTACCTCTCAGGATTTTCGATTTTCACATGCTGGCCCGCTTTATAACTGGTTCAGAAAGTGATTATTTGTTCACAAAAATTTCCAGTTATTTCTGAAGTCGTTATTTAGAAATAACTTCAAATTCAGAATCCAGATATCTTCAGTTAAGCAATAATAAATTCTTTGAAATACTTACATGCCTATCTGGGAACAACCATGACCATTGGTTACCACAGCAGCCTTATTTATTTCCTCAACTGACACAAAATAGATCAAAATTGCCGCCAAAATAAGTACTACTGCTACAGTTGAAATTAGAGTGATAATCAGTAATTTCTTGTGTGATCTAGAACAGAAAAATGTTTTCATTTATTTTCGTTACATTCATCAAAAAAACAAACGAGTGATCAAAATATAGAAACTTATTCTGCTGCTCACCCATCGTTACGATTTTGACTGTCAAAATAATTCAAGGAGTGAGAATGATTGTAATAGGAAATCGTTTTCAGTGAAGATGAACATGAAATTTTCATTATTGTTGACAACAGAGTGACAGATGAAATGTATATTTTGACCTTCAAAAATAAAATCGTTTGATCCTTTGAAATTGACTAGACACTCATTTTCACCCAGCAAATGCGCAAGTTATTATTAGGTACATATGAACCGGTTTTTGACAATTGTTGCCTCAGGAGAAATATTTTAAAAAGTTTTTCCAGTTGGGGTGTTTCAAAGCTATCATCAATTGAATGATATCAACCTACAGAAAAAAACAAACGATGTGGAATCTGAATCAAATCTGAATATCGGAATATCTAATTAGTGCATTGAAATATGAACCAGTTTTCCATCGATATCATTTCATTCAAAAAATATGAGATGAAGCACATGAATGAATGAAATTTTCACAAAATAATAGGACAAGGACATCTAGTCCGGTCAAATTAGACCAAAAAATAAGAGTAAAGCTACCTAAATTCCCACCAAAGTGGAAATCAGTAAGATTGTTTGAAATATGATTAAAAATAAAATTTGGAAGTTCCCCATCTTTCATCTGTATTGAAAAACTTTTATTGAAGGTCAAAGGTCAAAAAAATGAGTTTTGCGCGATTACCAGCAAAACGGTAAGTTTTATCATAGAAATATTCCGAACAAAAATTGTAGATTATAAAATTATCTACAAAAAATGTATCAATCCTTTTTTTCCTACGAGCCACCGTTTTTGAGATATAACGATTCAAAAAGTTGTTAAAGTTGTAATCATCATACGCCACGTATATACATCTATGTAGTTGTAATATATGTGAAAATATTTTTCTATCCATTATTGTGACTTACACTTATAATATAAAATTTAAATGAGTTATGACTATAAGAAAATCAGGTAAAATGAAACCCAGTCCCTTATTTCATACGGCATTATAACCTTGAGACTACATCTGTCTCCTGTTCAATTGTGTGCGTACCTAGGGTCTTACTTTCTTCTTTCGGAGCTCCTAAAAAAACTACCTGCTTAGATAAGTATAGATATGCATGTTTCGTTAAAAATACCAAAAGTGAAAAACAAGTACAATTACCTCGTCTTCCTCCAACCTCAGTAGCTGCATCAATGTCTTTTCCGGGTATATTACTAAGTTCAAGTGTGGCTTGGTTATCAGCTAGACCCTACAGACTGAGGTTGGAAGTTGGTCAACAATTCATTAAAACCAGTCCAAACTTTACTTCCATCTGCGCCGGAAAAACTATTGAATACAATTTTTTGCAACTGCAAGAAGGGGTGCAGTGCTAAATTTGGTTGCAAAAAAGCCATACTGTTTTGTTCTCTGGCATGTACACATTGTCAAGACCGGTCGTGCTCTAATATTGAATCACCAACACTGGAGGATCCGTTCGATTCCAACGAGGCGACATGCGATACATCGCTTACATGTACTCAGTTTACATGTACTCAGGCTGAAGATGAAGAAGAACAAGACAAACAAGAACAAGAATATCAAGAAGAAGAACAGGAAGAAGAATTTGAAAGTTACGACTCGGACGATTAAATTTCACCCTTTTTTTTAACTTAAATTGCTTTTATCTTTTCAATCTCTGCTAATATTCATTATTTTGCAATAGTTTTAAATTAAACAGAATCACAACTGACTCGTTGAATAGGCCTACTGGGGAAACCACGTTAAAAAAAACGCGTACATCACCTCATAGGTGGCATGAAAACGTGTGCATATTATGACGATTACAACTTTTGCAACTTTTTGAATCGATATATCTCAAAAACGCTCGTAGGAAAAAAAATATTGATACATTTTTTGTAGATAATTTTATGATCTACAATTTTTGTCTGGAGTATTTGTATGATAAAATTTATCGTTTTGTTCAAAATTTTTGACCTTGAATAAATTGTTTCCCACACAGGGGAACGATGGGGAACTTTTAAATTCAATTTTTGATCATATTTAAAACAATCTTACTGATTTTGAGCTTAGTGGGAATTTAGGTAGCTTCGAATGTCTAAATTGACCAGACTAATCGGTGAATGGAATCTATACTTATTATTGAGAAAGTCACTCACTTAACATTCACTGATTTACCTCTGTTTCTCCGTACTGGTGAGTCTTAGGAGGCTAAAATTCGGTGTATAGGTTCTCCTTAAGACTTAGATGCGCACCAAGAATTTTCAAATATTCCAACTCGGGAGCCCCCCGTGTGTGGTAACAGGAAGGCGTTTACATATGAAAATTACATTTTCATCACTGTTTCTCCATACTGGTATATTTCCGAAGGCTGTAATTTGGTGTGTAAGTTAACTTTATATTGTAGATGCGCAATAAGAAAAGATTTTCGAATATTCCAACTGAAGTGTTCCCCCAGGTTATATAGGAGCGCGTTTACATATGGAAATTATTTTTTATCACTGTTTCTTCGTAACGCTATATTTACGGAGGCTGTAATTGTGTATGTAGGTTCGTTTTATTTTGTAGATGTGCAATAGGAAATGATTTTTACATATTCCAACTGAGGCAGGAAGAAGGGCGCGTCCATAAAATCATGTTTCTCCATACCGCAATATTTTCGGAGGCTGAAATTTTGTATGTTGGTTCATTTCATGTTGTAGATATGCAATATTTAGGAATCACACGTTAAAAGGTGAGACCTCATTAGTCCTCAGCTTGCAAAAGTTTCGACTTAGCGGAAGCTTACATTGGATGCGTACACGTGCGCAAACCTTTACATTTAAGTGGATTCGGTTACAGTGCAGTCATTTAAGTCTGAAATTGTCGTGCGGCGTCGTACGTACGAGAAACGAAAACAAAAGCCATAGATACACATTCAATAATTATATCTGCTTTGTCAGGATAACATTCAATTTCTTTTTTTTTTAATCTCCATTTGGAACACAGTATTCCAGAAGCACATTCAACTACCCTTCTTGCACGTATGGTGCATTAATATCTGTATATAGAATAGCCTTGTCCTTCGGAATACAAAACGTTTCATTATCCAAACACTGTTTGAAAGTGCTGGCAGCAAATATTGATCCATCTCTTTGTTTACCATATGATCCGAAGTCTATGTAAAGAAATCTGCAATGGGCGTCAGCAAAAGCTTGAAGAACAATTGAATAATATTGTTCATAATTCCAATATATTGATCCAGACCTTGGTGNACAGGTAATATTCCATGAATATCTAGTGATGTGTGGGTCAATGCAGCCTATACAGTGTGGAAAATTCCACTTTAGAAAAAAATCCTCAGCCACTAATTCATGCGTGTTAGATGTTGGAAATGGCATATGTTGTGTGTTAAATTCATTCCATATCGCTTCACATACTTCAAAAATAATATTTCGCACTGTTGAGTGAGACATTCTAAAGAAAAATGCCAGAGATCTGAATGACAGTCCTGTTGACAAAAACCTAAATAAAAACCATCAATTAGGTGCTGAAAAATAGATAAAAAATGAAATAAATAAAAAGAAATAATTAATTTCAAAAATCCTTTTTGTATTTTCAGATGCAGCGGTAAAAGTCAAGTGGAGGAACTTGCGCGATAGTTTCCGCATAGAAATAACAATATTACAGAACTGCAGTTCAGGAGACCCTGGAGAAATTTCAAGAAAACCTAAATGGACCTACTTTGAAATGATGCTTTTTTTAAAGATATTTTAGGTGCACGACGATCGAGCGGTAATATAACGATCAGAGAAGAACATAAGAAAAATAATGCTGAAGATGGTGATGAATCTCATGACATCATACAGGATGGCACTCAGGCTGACAATGATGAGACAGCAACAGAAGATACTGAGACGGAAAGTGAGAAAGACACATTTAGAATTCCTACGACACAAAAAATAATATATGAGCACAGAAATGGTTTATTACCACAAAAAAACATAAAAAAGATAATATTCACAAACAACTTTTGCATATTGAGCAACAAAAATTGGAAACATATTCGGCAAGGTCATCACTTTCCGCTGATATTGATTACCACTTTTTAATGAGCCTTTTACCACAGTTGAAACAACTGACACCCATAAGGAATATGCACATGCGTGTGAATATTTAGCAACTGTTTTCAAACGAACATATGAATATGCAGTTTTGGTGTTGGTCAATTTCCAAATCCACCTCAAAGTACTGTTCCTATATACTACGCAGATTTCACTATGTACTACAAATACTTCAGGGTGTACTTCAGTAAACTGTAATAGTACAGAGAACCTAGAAATGTCGAATGTTTCATACAACAGAGAAGAGGAGGGAACTGCTGCTCGATATTTTCTTAATTTTTCATAATGCAAGTTGTTATTATGAATAAAGTATGAATAAATAATTGAAATATGTTATTGCATATTCGTACTTACCTCAGAGTTACCATCAACTTTTGTTCAGGTCCGATACATTTACGAAAATTCGAGTATATATATATAAGT